GTCACCTGTACATAACCATGATGTAGTTTACTGATTTACAAAGAGGAAGCACTAGCTTATATTTGTACTGCACTTATTCCTGAATTGGAGCATTTTTACTGTTTAATTTGCCTTCGAAATTTAGTCCAAAGTCCAAACAAACGAACAACAAGACAATCGACACCGCGATTGCTCAGCAGCTGATTTTTTTTTTCAACGACGCAAGTGAGCCGCATGTACTTCATTAGGGAACAGAACGGAACAAGTTATATGGTACAGGGCAACAAGCCGATCTAGGGCCAATCGAAACAACTGCAAACTGAAAGAGAAGGAACCGGAAGCTAAACGGCCACCAAAACCAAGGCCATACCCAACCCGAACTGACAAAGGACAACCCTGCCTAAAGGTAGGTAGCATGCAGGCCAGCTCCATTGCCTGCAGTCAGATTTTAGCTTCTCAATCGTGGATTTAGAGGGAGATCGCTCGGTTCTTTTCAATTCTCTTGGAATAAGATTTCGTCTCGCTTTATAGATAACCCTTGTGCTAAGCACATAAAAAAAAGGAAAAAGGGAGAGCATCCCACGATCCGTCCAAGCCGAAGGGAGTCACTTGATTAAGAGAAGATGTGGAGGTAGCCACGGTGGCCTCTGGTTTGAAGGACCGCCGGGAAAGAGGAAAACCTTAAGTTGGGACGGTCGTGGGATGCTCTTAAAAAAACAAATAGTGTGATATTGCGGTGTGTATGTTTCACAGTATGAACCTCGATTTGAATTCTTGTGGTAAAGTTATTGGACATATTTTCTAGCTCAACTAAAAGATGGAAGTTTACCTTGCCTTATTCAAAATTTCTTATACTAGGTGTACTCGTTGGGAGAATATAATTAAATGCATCAAGGTTATTATAGTATCAAACTCCTCAATTAAGGCAACCCTTGTTTGAAGTCTAGAGTATGATTCAGTGTGTACTTTTGAGTTTTCCTTAGTATTGCAATTTGGAATGACAGTTTATTTTCGGTAAAATATGATGAGCAAAAACTTACAAACCCTATACATGTGCATCAACTCTACATTGAACAAATTGATGGCACAATTGATTTTCTGATGATTGTCACCAAAGGACTTGTAGATGATATGAATACTATGAATATGAAATCATCATTTCCAAAAAAGCGACATGTTACTTGGAAGAAAAAATGATGATGCAAATAATAATTAAAATATTCTAGCAGTGGAGAATATTCTCTAAGTTCAGTTTTTTTATGATGGAAATGACAAGTACTTCACTAAAGAAAATTGAGGAACATAAGATTTTCAAAAGTATATTTGAGGTCTTCTTTGATCGACAAACTTGAAGTCATTGGATGATGTTGAGCTATGTAAGTGATGCACTAAATTTGCTGAAACTTATTCTTACAGTTGTTTATCCAATGTCTATTTGGATTATTTTTCTGATTTTTTTCTGAATTAAGAATATTGCAAATAACCTTACTAGAGGAGCCAATGTGCGCTATTAGATGTCTGGATTTCTTAGAAATATAGTTTTTTAACGCATCTACATTGCTTATCAAATTAAATTTATACCCATGGTTGTAGTTTCAGTTGAAAACAGTTTCCCAAAATTGAAATTATTAAAACATTATTTAAGATCATCAGCGTCACAAGAAAGATTCTAGCTACGGTATGCATTGATAAAGATCTATTAGAATAGATTAATTTGATATAAACGCTCTTATATTTCTTTATAAAGGGAGTATTTTGTATCAAAAAATGTTAGAAGAAATTCCTTCAAGTGACCAGTGCAGTTGTTTGTTTTGAATCAAAGGGGCTCGCTTTGTTATCTTGCACCAAGGCCAGCCTAGTCATATCAAGACCAGGTCTGAATGTACCTGGGCCATGCCCCCGATAGACTGCTGAACTCTGTTCAAGGATCATTTTGCCATTTCTCAAAAAAAAAAGGATCATTTTGCCATCAGATTGAGAAAAATGAAAAACCTATATTCATTCCAAACTAGCATTATAAATGAAGCAAAGCATAGCAACCAACACGTATGGAGACCAACCATATAATGCACCAAATCCAAAGCAAAGCACATATAGCAACAAACTAAGCTGTGAGATCAAAGCTAGAGAACCGATGAGTTATTGAAGTGCTTGAGACTTAGGAGTCAAGTTTTTTTTTACCTAGTCGCTGCTGCTGGGAATGGCGGACATAGCGTCTGTGGCGGAGGAGTTCAAGGCTAGGCAGCCTTTCGTGGCTTCTTCACTGCTTAATTAGTTCAATCTTTTGCTTACAAAAAGTAACTGTTATCTTCTACTAATGCTGAAATGAAATTAATCCCCAGAGCCAAAGTCAAAGCTATTTGTACATGACCGTGTGCTTTACTGATTTGCAGCAAGAAGTCTATTGCACTACTCTTAAATTACTCAGCAAATCAAATTAAAAGCAATTCCTTCTTTTCTGCTCTGCTCAAGGATGAAACAGGGCAACATGTTGCCCAAAACAGCTAGGCATCCTAATCCAACTTCCCAGTCGGTTTTATGGAGTATTATAATTAAGGCAAAAGAACAAGAAGAAGGCATGTCGACACTGCATCCGATTCTACAGCTTCAAGGCCGTGATGTCGACGAGTACTTGGGCCTTGTCCGACTCGAACACCCTATCCTCTGCATCGATCAGCGCCAGAGAAACCCCTTTAGGATAACCACCTCCGGTTAACTGTGGAGAGATGTAAGTAATTAAGGTGCAAACCTAATTTTTTTTTACCTTTTTCCAGAGTGAAGGCGTTGAGGAACCTGATGATTTTGCTCTTGTTTGCCACCAGTATGCTGATGATGTCACGAGGCTTATTTTTATTTGCAGTGAACAGCTAGACACGCAACCAAGAAACAACATGTTTAGTTTTATATATACATGCAAATTAAAGAAAATAGGTAGGTGGAAAAAAATGGGCACTTGGCATTGTACCTTGAAAATATGAAATGCCTCCACTTGTATAGGTTGGCTTGGATCCTAATGATACGAACAATTGAAAATTACAAGTTGAATAAAGTTTCTCATTTTTCAAAAGCCTGGCTAAGGGCATCTCCAACGCCGACTCTCAACCCGCCCACATACATCCGGACCGCATTGTTCGGACGTGTTGTGCCATCCAACGCGGGCTTGTATCGGTCTTGTCAGTCCGCAGGGC